ACAAATAAAAGGAGCACGAAGAGGAAACAGAAGAGAAATATACAAACTAAACAGCAGAAAACGATGCAAAATTTCCTATACTGGGAATTGTGAGAGCAAACACACCTAAGATTTGAGAAGTCCAATAAATTTTCTTCCTATTTACTGATTTAGAGAAATGAATTCACCAACAGGCGTCAAGTTTGTTTAGAGAGGCGAATACCAATGAAAGCAATCATTAATAGTTTATGTATGCAGAATGATCAAGAGAAGCAAGACAATGGCGTGCCTAGTGGAATAAGAGAAAATATGGTAAATCAATGACATGGAATGAATATATCTGGGAAAATTTCCGTCTTCATATTTTAAACAGTACCTGTTACTGATCAAGCAGTTATTGTAAGAGTGCAAGCGAGCGCGAGAGATCACCTGCTAGGGATAATAACACATATCCCCAAGTTCTTATTGTATAAACACTAAATATGACACAAATGTAATTGTAGTAAAAATGAAGTATACTGATAGCGCGAGCTACCTGTCCTCTGGACGTGTGAAGCGTACACCACTTCACCTAACAGTAGCCAGAACATTACAGTAACCTGACTAACAGTAATCAGAGTCCCTCCAGGCTTCGATATGCATCATAATTACCAGATAAAACGTTTTACGCAAATATTTCAGTGTAAAGTAGGAAGCTTGCTCTACATCCACCGAGTCGGTAGTTTAACCCTGCACTAGAGCATGAAATTTCAATCTGTAAGAGACTAATAATTATTATTATTATATTCATAGGGAGGTGTTAAACTCGCAGAACCATACAGAATCTAGAAATGAGGTAATCAGCTTTTATTCGAGGGATGAAGGCACTTCCTATTTCCTGGTTCAAGAGCCCTTTTCATCGGCAACAAGGCACAAAACTGAAATTGGCCATCTTACTTACATCATATCAACAGCACCTTCCGTCAAGGATGCACAATCAAATTATTGTGTCAAGCAGTCGGTCAACACATGAGGGGGACACCGCCTGAAGCGTTGTCTTCACCTGTTATGTCTCGTATCCATCTTCAGACATATTCCATCTTATGACAATTTCTGACTGATTCAACCAAGTCTCGAGAGCTCACGGTTGAATTACCATCCATAATTCAGCTCCTAAGAGCATAGAAATCAGTTTTCCCAGACAATTTATTCTTCAACGAGTTTACTCCACCAGTGATGATGCTTGACATTCTTGATTCTCTGTCCCAGTGTGCATGCGAGACTACAGACAGCAGGGGGTTGGGTTAATGGAGTTTTAAGTCTTTCTACTAAATACGCTTATTTAGGTTGTTCGTAACCTTTTAACCACCACACAAAAAATACCTTAATTTCTAACATAGGAAATATGGTAAACTTTCAGCATACGTGCTGATAAACATACACATGTCCCCGGTATTTACTGTACAGCATTCACCTGTATAGCCCTTGTAGCTTAGCGCTTCTTTTTGATTATAATAATAATAATAATAATAATAATAATAATGTACAACATTCAGTAGTGCTTTTATTTGGCTTGGTTAAAGGGAATGATTGCGGACACCGTTGTACTAATCCTAATCTAATGCAATTCGTTAGACATAGGTTAACTAAATATTAATTAAATTACATCCTAACTGCTGACACATAATAATTCCCAAACAGCTAATAATGAATATAAATAATTTTTTTTGTTTTGAGGTGGTCCGCAGCTACACCTACCAAGTGAATCTAAATTAATACCTGTCTAACTTTATAGTGCAAATTAGAGGGGAGGGGAAGGGGGCAGGGAAACGTGTTTCATTTCACAGAATTTCCCACAGGATGAAAGTATATTTAGGACCTTCCACCTACGTCCCCCCCCCTCTCTCTCTTCACCCTCACACCCATACACACACACACAATCATCTTTGTGGAGATGGACGTACACACAGCGGATGGTAGAATACACACACATGCTTGTCGGCCTAAAGCTACATGTGATGCTTGCATTTTTTCCTGTATCCCCTCCTGGCACTGCTGAAATATGTCTCCAACTGAGGAAACATCCTCTCCTCAGTATATTCTTTCACTCTTTTATATATTATTTTTACTGTCCACAACTATATATTTTATAGATTCCGATGATGATAAAATGAATAAATTTTAATAACCTGACCCAAGAAGACAGTTTTTCCTATTACCTTATATAAATGTCGATATATATATATATATATATATATATATATATATATATATATATATATATATATATATATATATTATTTTTTTTATTATCACACTGGCCGATTCCCACCAAGGCAGGGTGGCCCGAAAAAGAAAAACTTTCACCATCATTCACTCCATCACTGTCTTGCCAGAAGGGTGCTTTACGCTACAGTTTTTAAACTGCAACATTAACACCCCTCCTTCTCTCCTCTTTTTCTGTCTCATAAACACGCTAGATAACAGGGATATCTTGCTACTCCTACTTACACTTTGGGCACACTTCACAGACACGCACATGCATATATATATACATACATCTAGGTTTTTCTCCTTTTTCTAAATAGCTCTTGTTCTTCTTTATTCCTTCTATTATTGTCCATGGGGAAGTGGAAAAGAATCTTTCCTCCGTAAGCCATGCGTGTCGTATGAGGCGACTAAAATGCCGGGAGCAATGGGCTAGTAACCCCTTCTCCTGTATACATTTACTAAAAAAGAGAAGAAGAAAAACTTTAAATATATATATATATATATAAATATATATATATATATATATTATATATTATATATATATATATATATATATATATATATATATATATATATAGACATGTCGTGCCGAATAGGCAGAACTTCCGATCTTGGCTTAAATAGCAACATTCATATTGCCATATAGGACAAGTGAAAATTTGTGTATGCAATAATTTCGCAAAAATCATTCTGAACCTAACGAAAAAAATATGTTTCATTGTGTTTGTTTAGTATTAAATTAATGTAAACAAATCTAAAATATATTAAGTTGGGTTAGGCTAAAATAAATTGAGCTTGTTATAAGGTTAGTTTAGTTTTCTAAGATTCTTTTGGAGCAAAATTATAAATTTTTACATCAACATTAATGAAAAAAATATATTTTTAAACGTACAAGAGAAAATTTCAGAAAGGACTTAATTTTAAATGAGTTCTTGCTAATTGACCAGTTTTACATATTCGGCACGACATTTTATATATATATATATATATATACACACACACACATACTTATATGCAATTATGGTTAAAAGCATCTACTTAAAGTCTACTGATAATGATACTACCGCTGCTACTGCCTGTGATTATTTTTTTCATAGTTACAGAAGCAGGGCATTGCTCACTGTGTGTTATTTTGAATATAAACCTTTTTCCAGGATGAGATCCACAACAGTCGACTAACACTCAGATAGTAACTTATCGCTAAGGTGAACGGAAGCAGCAGGTGTAAGGAGACTTGACGTTAGGTCTTGTCTTGCCTGAGAAAAACTCGGGACATTTTGGTCGTGTGTGAACGCTTTGGCCAAAAGCCTACAAATGTTTATTAATGTCTCTTCGAAAGTAGAAGCAAGCGTGAGCAAAAACGCGATTCTATGCTTCTTACTATGCATGAACAACTTTATGTATCCGTGTGTGCATGCGCGACAGCACTCCATTGTGGTATTAAAAGCACACGCATATAATTTATGATATTCTTGTGTGGATGTATGTGTGGGTGCCAGCAGAAGCAGACAAGTTTAAATGCTTGCTCGCATGCTGGCCTGTAACCACTGGCGCCTCCAACTGTCACGTATTAGAGCAGGTCATGTATGTGTGAGGTGTGGCATGTGTACTTACCTAGTTTAACTTACAGTGGTCGACTCACTGCTCTTAACCTGTATCGAGCGGCTTTATGCCCGGCATCCACTGAATTTATTCTACTGAATACCCTGAGAGATTAGAGACATTTCCTAGTTTTGTGTTTTACCTTCATTTTACCTGTTTTCTGTATTCCCTGTTTCCTCTTCTCGCATCTCAAACAGCCGGTCTCTACCCACTTTACCTAATTCCCAGATTATTTTGCTTGTCATGATTATCAGAGTATATTATCCAGGTGTTTTCCTTTTCTGATTTTTGTTGTGTGTCTTACGACTCTTCTCTAAACTACTGTCCATCTGTTCCGGTATGTATCTCGTTGTGAACCTCTGAATTCCCTCTAGATTCTTTGTGCCTGATATGGTGTGAGTTCCATGATGGTGCTGCATACTCCAAGATGGCTTAGCGTTATGTATAATGTTCTAAATTTTTCTTCGTTAATGTTGCTCAAATCAGTTCTGAGGTTAGCTAGTTTTATCATATCCTTAAGTTATACGATCGATGTGCATTTCTGATGATAAACTTGTGTTGCTTTGCTCTTACATCTATCCCCATGTCCACTATCAGCAGCATCAACACGAATGAGGCAAGAGGGACAGAAGCAGCAGTTGAGGCAGCATCAACATGAAAGAAAGGCAGGATAAAAAAAACAGATGACGCAACATCAACACGAAAGAAAGGCTGGAGAAAAACAGTGGTTGCAGTATCAACCACAACAGACAGGCAGACAGACAGAAGAAACATTTGTCGCAGCATCAACAATGACAGGGAGGCAGAGGGACAGATGAAACACCTGACACAGCATCAACACGAATAAAAGGTGGCGAGACGAAAAAAAATAAAAAAGTTTATACACCATCAACAAGAATGGGCAAGCTTAGGTTAACCTGTCGTACATCGGTACACAATTTCCTTTAAATAATAGTGATGGGAAATACAGTCAAGTGACATGCATTCAAATAAATGACTAGTTTTAAATACCATGCAACAAACTGGACCATCTTGTGAGCTGCACCATAACTAACTGGACGAACTCTTAACACTGCAAATAAACGATCAGAATCTAACTGTTAAAATATGACAGACATACTTAGTATCCACCGATGGCTGGAAGAAAGTGTGTCACGGGCTAGTGACAGGGAAGGAATGACCATATGTTCCTAACCACTGTTTCTGCTCCCGGTTCTAAGGCCACATCTGTCATTACACCTGACACCACAGCTAACCCCACACCTGCTGCTGAAGTATCCACTCGTCGACTCCACTTTCGGGACTGCAGTGAGGTATATAAAGGAGCCTCCTACCTGATGGTTCATCATTCACTTGCAGACAGTGCAAGCGTCAACACACTTAACAGACACTGCGGGGACTCTTCACTAATATTCCTCGACATGATCATCAAGGTAGGCACTCAAGACACTCATCACCATACCTCCTGCACCTCCCTGTCATTTTTCAATATTTATATTATTCATGTAACCTCCCTTCAATACCTAACCATTTTTTTCTCAAAATTGATCTGATTCCTCAACATCAAACCAATATTCCTCAACATTTAAATAAGATTCCTCAGTATTTAACCACCTTCCCTAAACACCCAACAAAAACTGCTCAATACCTAATTATCTTTCTTCAACATCTGAACAAGATTCCTCAACATCCAACTAAGACTTTTCAACATTTAATCAAATTTCTTCAATACCTAACAACTTTTTCTCAACACTTAAACCAATTCCCTTAAAATATAACTAAAATTCTTCAACATCTAACCAAGATCCTTCAACATCTAACAAAGATCCTTCAACATCTCACCAAGATTCTTCAACATCTAACCAAGATCCTTCAACATCTCACCAAGATTCTTCAACATCTAACCAAGATCCTTCAACATCCAAGATCCTTCAACATCCAACCAAGATCCTTCAACATCTAACCAAGATCCTTCAACATCCAACCAAGATCCTTCAACATCCAACCAAGATCCTTCAACATCTAACCAAGATCCTTCAACATCTAACCAAGATTCTTCAACATCCAACCAAGATCCTTCAACATCTAACCAAGATCCTTCAACATCTAACCAAGATCCTTCAACATCTAACCAAGATCCTTCAACATCTAACCAAGATCCTTCAACATCTAACCAAGATCCTTCAACATCTAACAAGATCCTTCAACATCTAACCAAGATTCTTCAACATCTAACCAAGATCCTTCAACATCTAACAAGATCCTTCAACATCTAACAAGATCCTTCAACATCTAACCAAGATTCTTCAACATCTAACCAAGATCCTTCAACATCCAACCAAGATCCTTCAACATCTAACCAAGATCCTTCAACATCTAACCAAGCTCCTTCAACATCTAACCAAGATCCTTCAACATCTAACAAGATCCTTCAACATCTAACGAAGATTCTTCAACATCTAACCAAGATCCTTCAACATCTAACAAGATCCTTCAACATCTAACCAAGATTCTCACATCTACCCAAGCCTCAACATCTAACGAAGATTCTTCAACATCTAACCAAGATCCTTCAACATCTAACCAAGATTCTTCAACATCTAACAAGATCCTTCAACATCTAACCAAGATTCTCCAACATCTAACCACTTTCCCTCAATCTTAAACCCATTTTCCTCGACATACAAAGAAGATTCCTCAATATATAACCACATACCCTCAACATCTGACAGCTATTCCTAACATTTCATTACCGTTCCTCAACAGTCACAAAGATAAGACAACATAGATTTTCACAAAGATCTGAAGTGAACATGGGAGAGAAAAAACTAGTCTATTTTTCATAGTGTTTTGTTATAAATTATTCACAACAAAATGAAATATGATAATTGTTCATTCATAATAGGCTTCCATTACTGAAATATTTAAAATTTACTGAAATGTACGAGTATTAAAATACTTCAGCAAATAATTTAATTTATTCAAAGAAATAATACAGCAGCACAAGTATAAACTAACGCATTAAAATACAGTAAATATTTTAAGATTAAACTAAAACGTACTCTTACTGTATATATTATCTAATACAATGTGGCTGAAATATACAGTATATCTGAACGTATGTATGCTTGCATATGTATACATGCATGTATGCATGCTTGTTTGTGTGTGTGTATTATGTATGCTGAATATGTACGTAAAGAGCATGCATATATAACAAGAAGCAGTGTGTGTTTTCGGGATAAAAACTGTGATATATTAATATTCTAGAGGCACAAATTTAAAAAACAAAAAGTCAGGGAAGTGTGAGCTTAGGTTTCAATAACACGTAATTAATAGTGATATTAACAGTACATAATAATTATAACGATATTAACATTTACCAAGAACACTTGAATACCACTGTAGGATGACGATGTACATGAAGGGTCTCTTGATCCACGGAAATTAGAACTGCCCTCCCTTTCCTCGAATCAAGCCTAATTACCTGCCATTCCCAAGGCATTGTATGACACAGGATTTAACACTTCACGAAAATTATTATACTGTGGCTACCGTCAAGTTCTCGGGGCAAGCTCGGTGATTCAGTTTCATCTTCCTCTGAAACTTTGTATGTATATATATATATATATATATATATATATATATATATTATATATATATATATATATATATATATATAATGTATATATTTATATATAATGTGTATATAATATAAATATATATATATTATTATATACATGTATATATATATATAATGTATAATATAATATATTTTATATTATATATATATATTATAATATATAATATATATAAATATAATATATACAATAATATATAATATATATATTTCCTCTGAAGATGTGTGTGTAAGCATAAGAAAGAGCTCAGGCTTAATTTCCCATTTTCACAGTGGTATTTTTTTTCATATTTGCAATCATGCGTTTTGTGATTTCTTGCATATATATCTATAAATATCAACTATTAAAATAAAATTACCCAAGGTAATATCAGTAAAATATAAATGAGCCTTGGCTGGTGGTGGGAGAGACCACGGAGATGTGGCCCCCTGAGTGGCTGGTCCAGAAGGTTACTCCTGCGCCAGTGTTCAAATATTTACACGCTCAACAAGGCACATCTTGCTCTAAACTTCATATATTAATTTAATCAATTCAAAACCTTCATGGAAGTAATGTGGAATGGAAACCTAGTATGTTTTTTACACTCTGGCAAGATTTTTTTTTTATCTCACGAACACGTAAGATGACTGGAGGTAAATCTTACAAACTTACATTCATTACACCCACGTCACTACTGTCCTGTGAGCTTCTTAATAGTTCTCAATCCTGTGATATTTCCTTTGCAACCTAAGAAGCCTGGTCCAAGACCGGGCCGTGGGGAAGATAATCCCCAAAACCATTAATGGATAACTGCATCACGAACACGGTTACTTGTAGTCCTAACAAATGATACTCTGTGAGGATGCCTTATAAGAAGCCTATTACATGTAAAACATCAGTACCTGGAGGTTATTCCGGGGATCAACGCCCCCGCGGCCCGGTCCATGACCAGGCCTCCCGATGGATCAGGGCCTGATCAACTAGGCTGTTACTGCTGGCCGCACGCAGTCCAACGTACGAGCCACAGCCCGGCTGATCCGGCACTGACTTTAGGTATCTGTCCAGCTCTCTCTTGAAGGCAGCCAGGGGTTTATTAGCAATTCCCCTAATGCTTGATGGGAGGCTGTTGAACAGTCTTGGGCCCCGGACACTTACGGTGTTTTCCCTTAGTGTACCAATGGCGCCCCTACTTTTTATTGGGGGCATTTTGCATCGCCTGCCCAGTCTTTTACTTTCGTAGGGAGTGATTTCTGTATGCAGATTTAGGACCATTCCTTCCAGGATTTTCCAAGTGTAGATTATGATATATCTCTCCCTCCTGCGTTCCAACGAGTACAAGTCAAGTGCTTCCAAGCGTTCCCAGTAGTTAAGGTGCTTGACAGAACTTATACGTGCAGTAAAGGATCTCTGTACACTCTCTAGATCTGCGATTTCACCTGCTTTGAATGGAGATGTTAATGTACAGCAGTATTCCAGCCTAGAGAGAACAAGTGATTTGAAAAGGATCATCATGGGCTTGGCATCTCTCGTTTTGAAAGTTCTCATTATCCATCCTATCATTTTCTTTGCACGTGCGATCGTTGCACTGTTGTGATCCTTGAAAGTGAGATCCTCAGACATTACTACTCCCAGGTTCCTTACATTATTTTTCCGCTCTATTGTATGGCCAGAGTCTGTAGTACTCTGTTCTAGTTATTATCTCCTCCAGTTTTCTATAACGGAGTAGTTGGAATTTGTCCTCATTGAACATCATATTGTTTACCGTTGCCCACTGGAAAACTTTGTTTATATCTTCTTGGAGGTTAACCGCGTCCTCAGCAGATGACAGCCTCGTGCAGATCCTAGTATCATCCGCAAAGGATGATACGGTGCTGTGGTGTATATCTCTGTTTATGTCTGATATGAGGATGAGGAATAAGATGGGGGCGAGTACTGTGCCTTGTGGAACAGAGCTCTTCACTATGGCAGCCTCCGATTTAACTCTGTTGACCACTACTCTGTGTGTTCGATTTGTGTTCAACACACTGGCCATATCCCACCGAGGCAGGGTGACCTAAAAATATTAAATTTTTCTTTTTAAATTTAGTAATATATATACAGGAGAAGGGGTTACTAACCCCTTGCTCCCGGGATTTTAGTCGTCTCTTATGACACGCATGGTTTACGGAGGAAGAATTCTTTTCCACTTCTCCATGGCGACCCGTATATTCACTCACTCTTAAAGACAATTGAAGCAAACTTAATTGCCTATTCTAATATATTTATAATCGTTTTTACCCATTAACATTCTTTCTCGGTAAACAAAATCTAATTTAAATTATGCAGAACTTAATAGTAAATAAGTCACAGGAACCCCCAAAAACATTAGTAAAAATAAATAACATCAGCTATCCTGTACAAAAAAAATACCTATTACATATTCAAGATATGATAATTCAAATATTACAAAGAGTAACATTGACGGTTAAATAATACCACAATATACAGGTGGTTTATACTCTATAATATATCGAGTAGTACTGCTAGTCAACGCCGTTATGGAAATTTGAGGCAGTGTTCCAAATTTGGTAACTATTAGTGAAATACTATACAACATTTTCATTTTCCTCTTCAAAAGATGAAGTATCTTACTTGCAATAAAATTAAGTATAATAAAATGTTAATTTTTGAAGTGTAATTTATATAGTTTTAATTAAAAACAAACCTTTTTAATAATACTAATTTTAAAGGCGAGATGAAATACCAACAAAAGTAAAACCCACCCACTCGCTCTCTCTCTAACATATTTCATTAAGTTTAATACCTCCACATTGTATTTTATATTAAATACTTGAACCTTACTAAAATCACAACTTCCTTTCCCACACAGGCTTACCTGGTGGCCGCAGTGGTGGGCGTGGTGTGTGCTGGGCCCATGCCCAACCCAGTGGACCGCCCCTATTCTCCACCCCCTCCTTCATACCCCCCCGCATACCCACAGGAGGAAGTAAGTTGGCACCTTACAAAAAGACTCCTCGCTCCGTATTTCTCCCAATAAACTGAATATAATCCTGAAACGGATATGAAAACATATATACACATAGATGTAACTGAACAAGTTTGTTACACAATGCCTCAATGTGGGTCGAACGACGATCGACTTATTTCTTATACAATCTCCAGGTGAGCTAGTTTGATTCTTACATACTTTTCAATCTTTCTGCAGGAGCCACCTAAGCCATACTCCTTCGAATACGGGGTGAAGGATGGTTACTCCGGCGCCAACTTCGGTCACAACGAGAACTCCGACGGAAAGGCGGTGTCGGGTTCCTACCAGGTGGATCTTCCCGACGGTCGCAAGCAGATTGTATCGTACGTCGCAGATCACCACAACGGCTTCCAGGCCCAAGTCCAGTATGAGGGTGAAGCCCAGTACCCAGAATCTCCTGTGCACCAGCCAGCCTACCCTGCACCTTCACCATATGCACCGGCACCTTCATACCCATCTCAACTATTTAGAACTAACGAGATCCCGGCACACGAGCCCTACCCGAAGCAATTGTCGAGGAGAATGTTCCTCTTGAATATAATTAAGTATGCAGTTCCTTACCAACGTATCGCCATGAACCGCAGATACCTGCAATGATTACCTGCTACCTCAGGTTCTATGACTTACATTTGTTTTCATATGTTAAGTAATTCGGCTTACCCCCAGGCCTCGAAAGGGACGGAGGGAGGGTAGTACCCAGCTTTCCATGCCCAAGACGATCACATCCAAGGTGTCAGCCGGGGTCAGTTTAACCCTCTCCCCAGCGTGTTCGCGGGTCGTACTCGCTGTCGTCGCTTTACCGTGTGCCATTTTCGCACTTTTCGCCTCTAATATATTTTATTTGCATAAAATTTTCTTTTATTACACCCTCAACCCTATGAGAAAATTAAAGGGAATTTCCGGTTAGGAATAACGTCTGAAGAAAGCTTAGTCATATGGCGGCTCACTTGCTGGTTTCGTTGATTCTATTAAAGTTGAAGCCATTAGCAACTGCTGCACACAGACCAGAGTGCAGTACCAGATAGAGCCAGTGGTCGGTACTAATGTGGCCTACCAAAGAATCAACGGTTAGTTCACCTTGGTATCTAGGCTCAAAAACACCACCGTCTCAAGAAGCGCAGTGGTTGCTGGACCCTCACCAGAGGGCCCATGTCATCTGTGTTTTACGTGTTACGGGTTTCCAGGGTACTAACCCCCGCAACATGGCTTTCCTGTTGACCGCTTGATCAACCAGGCTGTTTGTTAGTGACACAACCCCACGTAGCTTTCACAACCCGGCTGATCCGAAACTTGTAGCTGGAAACTGTCGAACTTCTTAAAAAGTTTTATGTAAGCTCCAGCAGCATTTCTGATATCTGCTGGTAGTATGTTGAGTCTTGGGACCACGGATGTTGAAACAGTGTTTGTTCTCCAAGTGTATCCATGGTAACCCTGTTCTTCACTGGCTTTATTATACACTTTCTTTCATGTCTTTCACTTTCCAATAAGTTGTATAGTAGTGTGCAAGTTAGGGATAGGTCCCTCGAGCATCTTTCATGTATATACTTTTCTATCAGGTCTCTCTCTCTCTCTCTCTCTCTCTCTCTCTCCTTAGCTCCAGAGAAAAACCTTCCAAGTGTTTTGAGGCATTCCCAATAGTTCAGATGTTATGCTGATTCAATGCGGGTAGAATACGACCCTTGTTCATTTTCCACTTCTGGTATCTCGTTTGCTTTCAAAGGCAGACGAGATACCAGAGCTGTGAGAACAAAATATCATTTGACCTAGCCGCGACAAGTTATTTTACTGAGCATGTATCTTAACTTACATCCTCCGCTTTCAGAGGCTGAGTACAACTAACCGAACGATTTAATATGATTATTCAAATCACAGGCAATGTATGGAAGGCAAGGAGGCTTCATCCGAAGATGGGGAGGGTAGCTCCAATTCTTTGGATCAAGACCCCCAAAATATCAAAACATCCCTCTTCAATGAAAATCATTAGGAGAACGCATTCTTATTAATCTCTGACTCCTGTAACTTTATTACTCTCAAGTCTTTCATTTAGGTCTTCAAAATATAATCCAATTGTAAGACGATAATAACTCTACCTGACAACTTAAACCTTGTTCAGTCACACCACTGATCATGGTATTTAATAACGAAAGAATTTTAAGTCAAAATATGAGAGGCAAGAATTTCGATGCTAGGAGTGTGGACTGACAACTGCTGCCAACAAGAGTGAACGTCACAAGCCTTGAAATCAAGTTAAAGCTTCAGTTTTCACCTTCACACTGACGCATAGAAAAGAAGTTTCTCAGCGACTAAAACTGGTAATTGTGTCCAGAGAGAATACCGACATGAAGTGTGCTTCTGCCAAGCAGCTTTCTCTTAACAACACAGATAAGCCAGAAACATATGTTACACACCTGGTGCATTTACAAGTTTCTCTTATCTAAATAGAAACATATTTTATTCTCTCTTTTATTAAGGTCTAACCTACACATTTGCAAGACATAAATAATAAAGAAGACAGAAATATTTCCTAGCTAGGTTCAGTAATTCTAAGGAAAATATGCACAAGAAAAAAAAGTCAGGTTACTATATATAATATGGCAGACATCAGGTGTGGGACAACATATGTTTATGTCTACTTGTTTATTTGTATCTACCTTGGCAATACACCCACATATTTGATGCTTGTCAACCACGAGCAAGCAGATTACCTCAATAGTTATGGGGAAATACATAAGCATCACAGCTTCCCCTCCCTCTCCCCCCCATATCAGACGCCCTTGATCCAAGGAGATGGATTCTAGGCTCATCAGACCAAGAGCCACCACCTTTCTCTTCCACCGCCTCATTATTCTTATTATTATTATTATTATTATTATTTATTAGTATTACAAAAACAACAAACACCTTAGTGTAGTAATCTAGAGATGCAGTTTCTCCTGTTATAGTTCTGAATGATTTGAAAAGCCACAGAACGATTATTTGTGCAGCAGTTTTGAGCATCACAATTAATTAAAAGATACTAGATGGCTTATCAAATTAATTCGCACCGCAAAAATCACTGTCCACAATCCTTAAATTAATCCTTAATCCACATTTCTGTAATTCGTAATTCAAAATTCCTAGTCCATAACTCATATTACATAATTCACATACTATAATGTCTAGCAGAGATAATTCAGGTTTAAGGACAAGGCAATACATAAACAGGTATATTTCCTTGGATCAAGAACCGTTCAACAAGGCCTCTGAGCAGCTTGATATCAGCTACGTCACAGGGGTTCCCAATCTTTTCTCTGCCCCGCAACCCTAGGAAATGCTTAATTAATGTTGCAGCTCCTACAAAAGTAGTATCACACTTGAAGAAGAAGAAGTCAAATTCCTAATTTTTGAATCACAAATTGAACCAAATACAATACTGCGGGTGAACAAATTAAACTAAAAAAATAAGCCTTGAAATATCATCTCGCGCCCCCGAGAGGTGCATGTATCCCAGGTTAGGAACCCCTGAGCTACGACATAACTGTCGTAGCTCAGGGTAAAGCTACGACATAACTGTCGCAGCTTTACCTATCATTTCACCAGAATATCCCAAACCTGCAACACTCACAAGTTACCTTCCACTTTACAATTATTAACAAGAGTATCTTTAAATGAATAAAATGTTATTTGTGTACCTGTTCTTCTTCATACTTTCAGTTCTTCGTTTCTCAATTTCTCCTGGCTTTTAGCTTTCACATCCGCTCAGCCTCTCTACCTATTCATTTTTATTCTGTTACAGTTTTTCCAGAAATCAACACATGCTTATTCTCTTGTTACAAAGTGCAACAATGCAATTAATTGATTTCTAGTAAGAAATGAGCTTTTTAATTATACATATTTATAAATCTGAGGGAAATACAATGTCTATGGCTCAAGGAAATCCTATGCATTTTTGTACAATATTTTTCTGTAACATATATCGTGGAAGAGATCATTAACAAAGAGTCTTCAATAAAAAATGTGGCTTTAGTTCTCATGTTGCTCTGGTTGCTTTGTACTCAGGCTCTGAAAGACGTACACACACACAATTACGTACATGCACACGCTCTCAAACTTAGCTAAGTAGATTCACACTCATTTCCCTGTCACAGTAGTAGACAAAGTCAAAATGCCAAAAGGTAAGACAAAGATACTTCTTGGAGAACACACTAATGAAATGACTTGAAATACCTCGCGTTTGAGTGACAAGTTGTGAACCGACGGTTTACTCTGCTAAAAGTGTTTTAGATTTACCTCAAGTGACAGTCTCAAGGAATGTATTCTACGAGAAGGAAGCAAGTGCTACATACAGAGCAAGAAGGACGACGGAGAATAAACAAACGAGCAGAATAGCTTGGAATAACAATAAATGGCTGTAACCATGAGCCAGAAGAAGAGCTCAGTCAGATGACCAAAAGCTACAACGGCGGGTCATCTGATTAAGACCCGCGTCGAGAAACACTTGTCCTGTTACCTGACAAAGCATACCTAACCTAACATTGGAATAACAATGCAATGATAAGAATGGAAGTAGAAACACAATATTAAAATACACATGAGCGAAAAAAAAAAAAAGAAGCCGAAGCTTCCACACAGTCACTGGAAGAAGAAGATATCAGTAAACATTGTTGCTTCAGTAACTACAAGTGAACAGATAGCTTTATTACTGTAACTACATAGTTTTAATAACCTAACAATAAATGCGAAATTAATTCATTCACTCACTCTCTCTCCATCACAACACACACAACACACACACACACAACACATAAACACATACACACATCAACACATACATACATCCATCCATCCAAGGCTACGGAGAATCCTCACCTAGTCCAAGAAATACATGACGAGGCATTTCTGTTTCACTGACTCAGCCAACATTAGTTTTGACTCTGCACAGTTCACTGCTTGGCTACTTAATTAACTCTCTTAGGCATCGCCAGTTTCTCAGTATACTTTTTCTTCGTTTCACTTCACATACTCGCAACTTTCAAGTGACTATTCAGCAACTGCTCTGGTATTAGGTCAGCTCGTCATCTTTTTATACCATTCGTTTTCTTACACATTATCCGGCTTCAGTGTTCAGAACGTTTCCAGGGTACATAAATACCTTTTTATTTATTTTTAAGTTACCTTAGGACTGGTAATATAAACCTGTAAAGACGTAGTATATTCAACCAAAACCGCGCGCGACACGTCTGGCAGCGCAGTGTGTTGGCCAACCAATCTAACGTTAAAAAAATTGTTTTTTTTTTTATTGACGGGTTGTGTGAGGAAGACATATTGGTTGTTATAGTGGTTCCTCGTCTCGTCACACAGGTGCACAGGGAGGAGGAACATAGTCACCATAATAATATATAAACTGACTCGCAAAATGGCCACCAAGAGGCTTTGGTACCCGTTTTAATATATATACACACACACATGATACCTTTCTGAAAAGATGCAGCTAGAGACACATAAAAGGCATTAACACTTGGGTATCTCCTGTTGTCTGGGTCACCTTATACGTCTGTCGTATATATTTAGTCCTTCTCTGGCTCCAGTATTACCAACAAACAAGCGCAACATGTCAGACTATTACCTTTGACATTTGACTTTAATGTTGACCTGAAGCAGAACATTCAGACAAGACACGACGCAAAAAAGTGCGTGCCTCTAAACAACTCTACAAGGCACTGAGAATATTACTTCCCTACAATACTGAATTACTCACAGAGAGGCAGGACTCGAACCCATGGCAAGTCAGTTTTGAAACTAGCATCCCGTTTCTCTAACTACTGTACCATGATAGCCTACTAAGATTCGCCCAAC